TCAGTCTTTTTGAGGTCAGCTGTTATTACTTATAGAACAGAAAAAAAACAAGAAAAATGCAACAAAAGCCAAACGAAAAGAAACGGAAATACTAATTTTCTTCTTCACAATGTAATGCGACAATAAACATAATAAGCAAAATAGCTTTTTTTTTTTTCTTTGAATGGTAAGATTAATGATAAATTTATTAGCTTTTTACCACCAGTTTTATTCAGCTGCTAATATTTGTCTGTCATAATTGTCATCAAGTCTTGAGGTTTCTTCTGCTGTTTTTTTCTTATAAGGACTATCTGATCTCACTGGTGAGATCTGTACTTTTGACATTTTACAGTAATTAAAATCTTCGAATCCCTTCAACTAAGATGCTGGATTTATCTTCTTTATTTATCACATGCTTTTTGAATCTCTTTTAAGCATTTCAAGTCGAAATCTCATAGCAGCTGGTATCTTCAAAGATAAAATTTTTTTATTTTTTAACACAAATTCTTGACCTGTTGTAGTGTTTGGTTGTCTGATAAACAGGACACTATAAATGAATTAGAATTAACTTTACAGGTAAAATGTGACGGTAAAGCAGCACCATTTACGATATACGGAGGTGCGGAATGTGATCAGTTGGTACTGATCGACATTGTTCATCATCCAGACCTGCTCGGCGTTCTGACAACCAACGATATCATCATATCTGTCAACGATAGGTGTCCTTACCTTTTTGACTAAATATAATTCTGGGTCTTCTTCTACTCTTGTCACCTGTTGCAATAGAAAAAAAGTGAAAAAAAATTTTTTTTTCAAAAATTAAGTTTTTGAATAAGTGGTGAAATAAAGAAATTTTAGGCAAGTTTCTGGGATGACGCTTAACACGGTATGTACATTATTAGATGAACTGTTTGTTCAAGATCAAGTCATTTATTTGCAGGTTATCAGTGAAGGTAATTTTTAACTCCAGATGTAGAGTAGTTTTTTTTGTTTTTAACATCTCAGATTGGAATAATTCTTTTATATCTCTTACGATTAGAAGTCACTGAACCATCAGTAATGACTTTAAAGAAGCTTTAATTGACAAAAATTGTTCCATTGATGAGCTACAGTTGTTGTTTTTAGCTGAGCTGAGGAACTTTCACTCGGCATAAGTTGTTAATTTACTTCTCGCTGCAATACAAAATGAACAAAAGCCAAGATTTTCAGCTTGCTACAATATTAAAATTTCAATGAAGGTATAAACTATCTTCTCACAGTACTGAATGAAGCATATTTGAAAGCAATTGAAGTTGCTTAAAGTGTGCTTAATTTGTACTGCTGTTTTGAACTTCTTAGTTTTTAGCCTGAAAAAAGCAGTATTTACCTTGTTTTTAAAATTCTGCTATTATAATATGATTAGTTTATTGTAGAAAAAGTTTTGGCACTTTTTTTTTCTTAAAAACTTTTGGAAAAGATTTGGTGGAGTTTTCTTTATTTGAAGAAAACTGCTACCATCAATAGGTGTGAAGGAATGAGCTAGAAATATCACACTAGATAGTCAACCTGTTGTTGACACTTGCCGCTGCTTGGATGTAGACTAAATTATCACCTGCCAAGAGTTTATTTGGTGTCGTTAACGTTAAAATAAGTCAATGTTTCAAAAAATGAGTTTTATTTGAATTTTAAACAGTATATAAGGTCATTTTTTATGGACTGGAAAATTGTTTTCAAAACTATATATTTCAAATGTAGAAAAAAGAAGGAAAAAAGGAAATTGGGAACTATATTTTTGCAATTATTTTTTTTTTTTTATTTTGATAGTTCATATGACAAAGTCAGGAATAGAGTTTACTAAACATAATTACCTGAACCGTAGTTACAGCTGGGTGTAGAATTGAAATTATACTGCAGTTGTTCTCTGAATCAGTCGTCGCCCATTCAGTATAGTCAAAAAAAAAAAAAAGAGCAAAAAAAGGACATAAAAAAATAAACACTTTTTACTTAGTTTTTTTTTCTTTCTTTTTTTCTTATCCAAGTGAAGATAAAGCTTTCTTTTTCCAATAGGAGAAGAAGAGGAGGAAAAAGTACTAAGAAAACTGTATTTGAAAAAAAAAGAGTTCAAAAAAGAAAATACTATTTCATATCAATTTTGTATTTCTGTTTTTTTCGGTGAACCAATCATTTGCAGCTTTTGCTGCCGTAGGGTCAAAAAAATTGAAATTTAAAACAATCGCCCTAAAAGCTTTCTGACAACACTTTTAAACTCTGTGTTTATATTCTTTGTT